CGCGGGGGCGCCCGCCCCCCGGCTCCCCCCGAGCCTTTCAAAGCCGCGGAGGGGCTCCGCTCGGGCGGGGGGGCATCCGGCGTACAAGACGACCCCCGATTTTTGGGGGATGTTTTTTAACTTCAGAGGTCGTCTTGTACGCCGGAATATACGGTAATAGAAGCAAACACACACATCAGAAACAGGATTCCATATGTTCAAACACAAAGATCTTTATACTCCTTTCACTTACGATGGTGGAAATTAATAGAAACTTCATAGAGGGCGGGGGGGCATCCGGCGTACAAGACGACCCCCGATTTTTGGGGGATGTTTTTTAACTTCAGAGGTCGTCTTGTACGCCGGAATATACGGTAATAGAAGCAAACACACACATCAGAAACAGGATTCCATATGTTCAAACACAAAGATCTTTATACTCCTTTCACTTACGATGGTGGAAATTAATAGAAACTTCATAGAAGTCAGTGCAGTTACTAGGGGTGCAAGTGAGTAGTAGACAAACTGATAAGCCTTGCCTTATGGGTTAGTCAAGTTGACTACTTGCATGCCTCTGCCCTCTTGCTGCCTCTGTATCAAAGGCGGGGGAAGGGGCGGCAGGCGGGAAGCACGAACCAGTTTGGGGGGAGCTGGCTTAAAAGCCAGTTCCCCCCAGCACCGGGTCCACAGTGCCACCTGCTCCCCCATGCTTCTGCCTCCAGCAGCAGCCCCTATCTGCAGCTAGCCCAGGCAGCCACTGCCTAGCTCCTACTGCCTTTTAAATTGCTGAGCCACAGCAGGGTTTGGTCCTGGATCTGGCATAAGTCAGGACTGAGCCACGCTGCCTTCCCCTATCAAGAAGTTGATAACATTTTTATCAATTACTTGATTGGTAAATTAACCTTATTTTAACATTCCTAGCAATTACACTGCTTAGAATGTACAGTGAAAGGAGAATAAAGCTTGAAAGTTTTGCACTCTTGGAAGAATGGTGTGGAGTTGCTTTAGATCAGAAGTACTGTGATGGCTTCAAAGTACAGGCTTATTTCAGAACACGGAACCAAGAGTTCAGATAGCATTTGTTTGTGGATAAAAGCTTGAACATGTTTTATGCAGGATGTAATAGGTACCTTATCCCAAAACCTAGAGCTACTGTATAGTCCCTGACTACTTCAGAGGTCTATCATCAGACCTCTGAAGGTACATCAGACACTATGTAAAGTTTCTGTGATTGTTGTGCTGTGGGATTAGAGTAGTTTCTTATCTGATTACCAGTGAATTTTATTTCTCCTTATGACCATGCAAAAGTCACTGAGCCACTGGCATTTTGATGGGAATTAAATGGATGCTGAAGCTATTCAGTACTTTGTGGGATTGGGGCCCATGTAAGGCATTTGGAAACCAAAATTAATGAAATTTGCAGTACTGACTCTGATAGTTGAGTAAATCTGGTTTCTTACCTGAAATGGTATCTGTAAGTAGCTTCTGACCAACCATATACTCTATTCTAATTGGCTAAAGTAACCTATGAAAGCCATGGCAGTCTAGATGTGAAATGTTTGTATAACTGTTTTGAGTTGACTAGATCCATTTTGTTACTTAGGTTAATGCAGACAAGCCTGGAAGGAGACTTCATCAGGTCACAGGAACTTTCACATATCATAGCAACTGTTAGCCAAAGTCTACCTGGCCACTTGTTAGCCTGGGACTTTGTCAAAGAAAACTGGGAAAAGCTTATACAGAAGTAAGTTTGTTCTTTAATTATTAGCATAATATGTTAGGTGCTGCATTTTCTGTGCATTATTATTTTTCTGTAAGGGGGACGGGGAATAACATTGAATACAATTTTCAGAAGTTCAAGTTCCTCATCTCAAAATATGACTTAGGTAGCTAATTCCCATTGTGTGAGGTTTTGTTTTGTGTGTTGTGTTTGTTTTTCTTTGTGGTGTTTTTTTTGTTTTTTTGTTTTTTTAACAAGGAGACTTAGGCTCCCACATCAGTTACCCTGGCTAAGAAAATATTATCATGCCTTTAATAAAAGGTATTCTGACAAGGTTATGAAACTGTTAATGGAGCATATGTTGTTCCTTCAGTCCACAGTGAATAAATAATATCTTGTGTCCACAGTGGTCACAGCATGCTTTGAAACAGATTAAAAATGTGTTCTTTGAGCCTGCATCATTTCTTTTTGGAGACACTGAAACTGTGTGTGTGGGGGGGGAGGGAGAGAGGAGGAAAAATGCACTTTTCTGGAAGCATCACAGCTTGTTGCAAGTGTTACGTCTTTAAGCTGTTTTTACCTACAAAACATTGTTATTCTTTGACAGAATAACTCAATATGATCATCAGTATAAAAAAATCATGTTTGAAAATTACTTAATGGGTTTTTAAGAAAACGTTATGCTTTGTTGCATAAAGCTTTTTTTAAAAAAAGCATATGAAGGGAACTAGCTTCATAAACTGATTATCTCAAATTTTCTTCCTTTATGTTTTTCTTCCATGTTTCAGGTTCCACGTGGGGTCATACACTATCCAGAATATTGTTACTGTGTCAACCTCTCAGTTCTCAACAGAGGCCCATCTAGTTGAGGTTGGTGGTATGAAGTAATATTTCCTAAGTATTGGCTTTCACCGAGAAAATTCTTTTAATTTGCTATTGGTGCAATACCTTTCTTGTGCATAGTGCATCTCACCATCGATTTCAAGATTCTTTTCAATAGTGTGTAACTGTTACTATCCCTATCCTATACAAAGGGAAAATAGTTGCAGAGAAGTGACTTGCCTAAGATTAGGTGGAAAATCTGTGGCAGTGCTGAGAATATAATCCAGCAGTCTTGCAGAGTGCTCCAGTGGGCAGAGTACAAAAAAGTCTATCATCCATGTTAGAGAGGATTACTTGTCTCCGATTGTATGAACTTAGCAGGCTGCATTTGATCTTGTGGCTTCTTTTTTTCTGATTCCAGATCGGCTGACACTAGTCAGGTCTGTAGTATGATAGAGCAGCCTAAAAGTCATTGCATTTTTCTTTGGCTGTCAGCTGCCTTTAGAGGTCATTCTAGCAGTAGCAGATCAGCCAGCTTCAGAGGTGCTACCTCTGTCTTCCCCCTTTCCTTTAGCCACATCTTCTACTCCACAGGCTTTGAAGAGTAGAAATCAGCACAGAAGCCACTTCAGCTTCTAAAGTAAACTGTCAACTTCTGGGGGAAACAGTTAAAGGTCAAAATCGTTAAAGATGCCCAGGCAAAAACATGCCTGCGTGGTGTGTGCAAATCTGGTGTATACTGAATTTATTTTCATGTGCTTTAGTATTTACGTACTTCGTTGTGTCAAGTACCCTAGTGATAAGTGGATTTTCAAAGAATTCAAGATAGAATCACTTTAGGCAATCACATTGGTCGCAACAGAAGACTTCTCCAGAAAGCTATTTTTTCTGAGTGCTGTAAGACCATGAGCAGTGTGTGGCTGCAGTATTTTGGGAGCCTGGCCCGATTGCCAGAAGCTTCCTCCAAGGCCCCACTTTTGCTCAGCCAGCGCCCCACCCCCACCCCTTGAGTCCCTGCTCACATGGAGGACCCTCACCCACCACTTGCTGAGTCCTCCCACTCCCTTGAGTCCCCGTCTGCTTGGTCACTGTTGCATGTCGAAGAGGAACAATATGGCAGGCAGCAGGGATGGTGCAGGGACAGGAAGATGTGGAGCACAGGCTAGGCAGAAAGGTAGGAGGAGGATTTGAGGTGGAGTGCAGATGGGGCCACCGTAGCCCCAGCATCCAGGTACTCTGAGAGTGGGCTGTCAGCTGCGCCACAGGGGGAGGCTTAGCCCCCACTGGCCTATTATACCCACTGCTTGTGTGTACACTTACAGCTTGATTGTGCTTTGAGTGAAATTCCACCCAAGGTACAGAATTTCTTGTTGAAATTTACTGAAGCTACCCAGGCTATTGCTAAGTTCCCAGGAACTGTAATTGCTTTTCTTTTTTTCAGCAACCTTCTCTTGTGTGATTTGCCAACTATTTGAATGTGGATGATTACTGCTTTGTGCTGGAGTCGGCGGGGGTGGGGAGAAGGTCAGGCAGGTGGCTCACTTTTAACTTGGAAGCTGCCTAAGTTTCTCAGCCTGAAATGCACATTTTCCTCACTCTGCAGGTTAAGACTTTCTTTGAGTCCAAATCGGAGAAGAGTTCTGAACTTCGTTGCGTCAGAGAGGCTATTGAAACAATTCAGCTGAATATTAAGTGGATGATGACAAACTTGAAGATGCTGCAGCAATGGCTGTAGAGAACACAATGTCACAGTGTGCGTGCTAGCCATTAAGAGAGCTTGTGAACTGTTGCTTTTGCAAAAGCCAGGGTGAAACCGGGCATCGCTGCAACTTTGTTTGCACTATTAGGAGTTATAGTTAGCTCAGGGCACATCTCACCTAAGTTTGTTTTTCTTTTGGTCATTTGTGGGCCAGATGTAGATACTTATTTATTCTGGAACTGTTCGTCTATAGACCAATCAGATGCATAAATAACTAATACGTACAGTACTTTTATATTTGAAAACCTGTCCTATCCTCCTCAACCCTGGGTAGAAATTCAAAAAGAGAGCAACAAAGGAAGAACTGCCATGAGATGCTTTTTCTTTGCAAAGCGCTAGCTAATCCGTGATCTTTATGCAAAACCTTTGGATTTAGCTTTTGATTATCAGTTTTTTCTAAGCATTATAAAAACAGAAGATGTTGTTATAATATGCATTTTGTCCAATAAGTGGCCAGGCGCTACTGATATTCTATGAAAAAACAAAGCCAAATATAAAATATTAATGTTTTAGGAGGGAAGGGATTTTCAAAAGCACCTCAGTGACTTGGGAACACATGTCCCTCTGAGTCAATGGGGAGTATGTTCCTAACCAGTTAGGCACTTCTAAAGGTTACACTTTCATTTTCTAGACTGTGTTAATATTAATTTGTTGATGTCTGAGCAACAGCCCTCTTTCCTGCTCCCCTCTCTCCATGCTATAGGAAGCTGTTTCAGGCTAGTTTCGGTGGTGAACTGACTACTGATCCTTTTCACCACTCCACCTTGTGAAGGGCCTGCATTGGTACATGTGTGTCAGATGTTTTGTTTGGGTCAGTCTTTATATTCTTCACTTAACTTTTCAGTGTCACTAGTTAGATTTGCATACATTGCTTATTCTGTAATGCTTACTTGTTGTAACAGTGTGGAACTTTGGATAAGGGGACAAAGTCTAAAACTTGTTCTAGAAACAAGTGGCCTAAATTCAGGCTTGGCAGACTAAAGGGCAAGATAGCCACTGTACAATGTGCCTTTTTTTGTTTCTAATGCTGTTCACAATAAAGGCCCTTTTTGAGGCCTGGTGTAAACAGAGTTGTACGTCTTTAACTAAAGAGATGGTTTTTATACCTGTTTAGTTAAAGCGGTAGAGAGAGAGAGATTGTGTAGAAATTTTTATGCCTGTTTTAAAGCTGGCTAATCTCATGTTAGTTTGTGTCGTCAAAATTTTCACTTACAGACAAATTGATATAACAAGTTTCAAACTAGTGTTTGGATTTTTTTTAAAGTTGCATCAGTTAATGGCATGGCTTTAAATTGAACCAGTGCAAATTTTGTTTGGAGGTAAGCTCTGAGATAAATTATTTCTCCAAAAGATGGGAAGACTATTTTCAGTCATCATCAGCTTTTGACTTTGAATATCACAATTTTAATATAGTCTCTGTTTAAAAAAACCCTGACTCTTTCACCTGCAAATTGTGGCAGTAGTATTCCAGAGATGTAGGTTGGTGATTGAAAACTGGCCACTAAAAATTATAGTATGTGTTGGCTTTTCATTAGTAGGTATGTACTAAACCATATAAACTTGTGCAGTTTCATTTCCATGTTTTGTGCTTCTCTGACAAAAGTTTGAGGAAGTATTTTCCTAAAAATTCGACAATAGTCATTTTTTAAAAAGGACTTCTGCAGTTCTAACCTTGAAAAAGAATGGTGGTACTCCTGGGTATAGAAACAGCCCATGGAAATGAATGCATTTTGCATGCACTGAAAGTGGATTTATATTCCTCATCCGTAATTTAACTAGATGGAATCTTAATTCATTGTGCTCTGTGATCACTTGTGCTAACTGCTCTGTGCAGTGTTGTTCCTCACCCCCCTGCCCAGTTACTGTTAGTTACATCTTTGAATATTCTTCTTTGTGTGCTTGTACACCCTGGTTCTCTTCCTTTTCCATTTTCCTGTTCTAATTTTCCCCCTTGACAGAAGCAAAGATGATGAATGTAATATGTAAAGTGGCAATTAATCCCCTCATTCCCAACTCTGGAATTTTTAAAATGTTCTACCATTGATCTTAAATGTATTACTGGCAATATAGTCTGTACTAGGATATATCATGCACTTCCATTTTTAGAGTAAAAAATACAGTAAAAACTGAAAAAAAGGAGTTTGGAAAATCATGGCTTTAAAAGTCCAAAACCAAAAAACATCAATGCAAGGAATTTCATTTTGCTCCTCAATGCACTGAGGTTTTTCATCTTTTTTGCTACCTAAACATCACTTTTGTGAATATGTTCGATATCACCTCTCCTTCTCTGGAGTGTGTTCTGTGGACAATAACTGAAATCACTGAGAAGCTTTTCCTTGACTTAAGAGTTGGATCAGGCTCTCATACTGAGAATCACCAAGAATCCTTCTCTCTTCCAGAGCTCAGTGGGATTTGAGGAGAATTGTCACTGCTAAGTATCAAGACATTGCATGTTTTATGTTAAATGAGTAGATCTTGCCTGTTTTTTTTAATCTTCCAGTCAGTAGTGTAGACAGAAGAGTAGGCAAGAATGGGGAGCAAGGGGAAGCAGGACAGAAGGGATGGGGGTAAGCCCTGGCTGCACACCCCAGCCAGAGCGCCGGGTCAGTACAGGGTAATCCCCGGAAGGGTGGGTTTAGAGCAAAGTGGGTGGGCCACGGGCCACTCAGGCCCATCTGTGGCTATACCGCTACTTCCGTAAAAAAAACCACACACTGTAGCAAAAAAATCTCTCGTTAAGATTCCGTAATACTTTACAGGCAAACGTTATGGAACAACATGCTGTATAGGACTTGGATATTGTCTTTATTTTGTTTCTAAAAGAAAGGAAAGTCCCACTGAAAAGCTACTAGACAAACACCAGCACATTGAGGCCACCTCGCTCTCTGTGAGATCAGTTTTGTTGAACATATATTTTAGTTGGAGTCTCTCTGTTTAGGTCCAGTGAAATTCCCTAGCTTGTCCTCTTGAAAGCTTTTGTGTTATTGTAGTGTTGGTACTTTGAGGTCATCTCATTATAAATAATATTTAACTGTGACATCTAAAAACCTAATTTTAAGGAAACCATGGATTACGTATAGCTATGTATTGTCTGGGTTTTTTTCTCCCTAACATTTCATATATAAAATTAACCTAACAGGGAAAAATTATGATAATTAATGAGATTTTTAACTTTACCCCTGGAAAACAGCCTTTGCATGCTATGTAGCTTTGATTTTTATTAAAATTGCAAATTTGTTTAATTCTAAAACTTGTATTTATCATTCATGAGATTTTGGCTTCTTAAATTTATTCCATTTGAAAAGAATCAGGCTATGATGAGAGAAGGAGCTTGAAATGGATCATATGTGACTGTTTATATCTGATTGTAGCAACAGTCTGTGTGCCTTATGGATTATATTACAGTAATATACAAAATCATATGCTAGCTGGAGCTTGCAAAAAGAATGGACTCCCTTTTATTCCAGTGGGTCAGTAAAACTCCAGTTTCAAATCTGGCATATTTTTATTCTTTAAGCAAGAGATGTTAATGCTATTTATGTTCTATTAGAGGTCGACGATACTTTTGTTTCCCACTCCTCAAATGCTTTGAGTTGTGTGGCAATTTGTAGTAGCCCATAGGCTTTTATTTTTATATGTATTAACCCCTACCATATTGTTTTATTTGCATTCCCAGTCTTGTCCCCATTCACACTAACAAAGTAGTTCTGAGAGATGCTGTAACTCAAATTCTCAGTCACCTATTTCAAGCCTTAGTGTGCTCTCTTGTCTGTATCCCTCTGCCGCTGTCCTTCAGAGCTAATTTCTGCAAGCACATTCTCATCCTCCAAATAGTCACCTGTCTGCTGATGGGAAAGTTGAAAACACCAGTATCTAGAATAGCCTTCCTATGGCATGAATTATAGAGCTGTTTTCATTCAGTCCATACTAATGTATGTGGAATTGGAGATATTACTGCACATTCAATTTGGAAAGTAATGTGGGTTCCTGTGTTCATTGAAAGTATGTTTCATAGAGAATTGTACTTCAAAACTTACACAATCTAATCTCTTCCAATATCTCACTTTACAAGCAAGGTTGCATATGCTTCTGTAAGCAATAATACCAGTCTAGTAGGGACTTCATCACGACTGAATTGAATTGACTCTACATTTTAGTTTATAAAATCCTGTTTTCATAAAATGCTTTCACCTTTTCTAGAATATTATTGTATTGCCAATCTGAATAGCTCTCTTTAGCTCTAGGAATGATATTAATTGGTTAATTTTGTACCTGGCAGGGCTGAAGGGATGGATTTTGCCATAGAAATATTTACCTTTTTCTTGCTCACAACATCTTGCAACATTTTGAGGCATTTTCTCTTTGGCATACAAGTCTGACCCTTGAAGTGAATCCTGCTTTATGAGTACATATCTTTCACCTGTTCTGTATTAGATGAACATTCCTTTCCCACAGATCGACTCCCTTCTTCCTCCTCCCTGCCCCATTGCTGGAAGATGTTATCTTTCTTTGCACTCTGAAATTTAAAACAATGCTGCTTCATTAACCATACATTTTTGTATGAATTTCATGCATCCGGAATTGTATGTTGGCTTTCTTTGTGTATTTCTGAATCAGGTTTCATGTAGTTAATTTACCCCCATCACACAGTAAATGTTCTCTCACATTTTGGCTCTATTGTATAGAAGAAAAAAATGCACAAGTAAATTTACTTTTACATTATTTATTTGATTTTTTTTAAAGATACTACTAAATGTTATAAGATTTAGTTCAGTTTTTTTGAATTTTTAAATGAAGCATGGATTCTCATGATTTTTGGAAAGGTTTTAAAAGGATGTAACTTACCACGTTAAACTCTCAGGTCATATTGATAAAGAATTTAAACTTCTAGTTTTCCTGTTGTTTAAATCTGCTGCTGTAGTAGAAATACAATTTTATATATGATGACTTAATTTTCATTAGTGTGAGAGGAAGTCATCTTTTTGAGTTGATCATAGTGACATTTAGCAAATTACAGTAAAATATTTATTAAAGGGTTGAAACTTGAAAGGATTTAAATACGTTCAAATTTGGATTGCATTATTAAAGATTAATAATATTTTCTAGTCAATGAATTAGAGAATGGAGTATTCTGAGAGCAAACTGCTTCAAACCACAGCTAAACTTGCAATCAGATTAGTCCTGTTTTCCAGTCTTCATAAAGTTAAGTAGCCCTGAAGAATGATACTTTCAAATTATTTTGGAAAAGTTAGATATTGTAAGGACTTGCAGGGATAACATTTGAATATTTCTAAAATAGTTAGGAGAGAAGTACAATGCATTACATGTGTGAGATTGGGTGATGAAATTCCAGATTGTACAATATTTGCCTTTAGATAGAGGATTTTTGAAAAGAGTGTGTATATAATGTACACACATAAGCAGATCTGTTTTGTTTCACTTGTAAGGGGGGGGGAACTTATTTTCAGATACATTTGTTTGCATATAATGGGCACTGACAAAAAGGCATGTATAATGCAAACACTGTTGCTTTTGTGAGAAGAAAATAAAGTATTTAAATACAAATTGCTCTCATTCTTTTTAATACTGGTAACTCTTTAGTGTGTGGTTATTTTTAATTGTTTTCATGGCCTTTTAAAGCTGGAAGACAACATTGGAACATTTAGTCTTACTCCTTACCAGCCATTAAATTTTAACCATTACCCCAGTGTTGATACCTTTGGTAAATCACAAGTTATCTTCCAGAAAAAGCATCCAATTTTGATTCTCCATCTCTGGCATTTCCACTCACTTCTCTTGGTAGTTTTTTCCAGTGGTTAATCTCCTTCTCTTTGGAAAAAATTATGCCTGATTTTCTAATTTGAATGTATCTGGCTTCAGCTTCCAGACATTGTTTCTTGTTTTGCCTGTTTCTTCTAGATTCAAGAGCATTTTAGGATCCAATATTTTATCCCAATGAAGGCATTTGTACCCTGTAATCAAGTCACCCCTCAATCTTTTTGATGAACTAAACTGTACCCTCTCCTCCAATTTTTAGACATCCTTTTAAACAGTGTGGATACCAGAACTGGATATTCTATTCTAGCATCAGTTTCATCAATGTCATATATATATATATATATAAAATCACTCCTCTATTCACTACTCACTATTCCCCTGCATATACATCTAAAGATCTCATGAATATGAGCAGGGAACTGTCTGTAGGTGGGATGGCAGGGATGCCAGAGTGTCTTCTCCCATTTTGTGTCAGACCAGGGCTGCTTGCTTTTCCCCTTCCTGTCCCTGCCAGGGATCAAGAGCAAAGTTTGTCCCCTGTAGTCCCAGCCAGGGTGAAGAATGTAGCAAACTCTGCGCTTTCCCCTCAAAGGGGAACCACCAGCAATGTCCCCATAGAAATCTGGGGGAGGAGGAGCTTCAAAGGGCATCTGGGGGGAAGGAGGCTGGAGCAGTCCCAGATGAGGGGTTACCACCAGCCCCTGGTGATTGTCTCTTCTGTGTGGTTTTATGAAAGTAATCCAATTCGTGGCACATCCAATTCTTCCTTGAGTGCTTGCTTATGTCCATTCCGTCTAGGTGTGTGCGTGCCCTGTGCACAAGTTCTGGAAGCTTTTTGCCCTTCGCACTTTCCGTTGGGCCAGCCAGGGAGTCCCCTGGAGTGGCGCCAGTATATCCACGCATATAACACCTTGCTGGCCCTCTCCCCCTTCAGTTCCTTCTTTCCGCCTGTGATGGTTGCTGGAATGCTTGGCTTGCGATCGTAAGTGATCCCTTAGCTTAGCTAGTAGTTTCTATAGTGTGTAAATAGTGTAGTTCACAGTTAATTGTCAAGTGTTTGTAGTTAGTGTAGGTAGTTGTTCTGCTCCGGCTCCCCTCAGGGAGGGGAGGGCATGCTAAGGCCCCATGGCTTTAAAACCTGCAGACAGTGCACCAAGCCCAAGGACTGCCTCAAGTGCCATGGGGAAGGCCACCTGACAGATTCCTGCAAAATCTGTAAGTCATTCAAGCCTTGGACCAAGCAAGAGAGAGATTCCAGGTTGAAGTTAATCTTAATGGAGTCCGCACTTTGCCCCGCAGCACCGGAGTTGGAGCCGTTGGTGAGGAGTGCTCAGGAGTCAATAGGGGGCTCCAACCGCAATGGCTGTCCAGCAGCAACAGGTCAGCACCAGGGCACTGGTTCCAGTCTCCGGTGCTGGCGACTTTGAAAAAGTCGAGGAGAGGGAGATCGCCCGCCAGGCATGAACAGGCGGAACACCGTGGGGCCTCCCCTTCCTCATGCGGATGGCGAAGTTGGGCGAGGGCCAGCACCCCGGAGGCCCAAGACCTGTCTGTGGAGGAGGCCACGTGGCAATCTACCCCAGACATTTTTGACACGGCCCAAGAGTTGATAGAGTTAACAGTCTCGCCGGCTCCAGCACCGTGGGGTACCATACAGTACGAGACCAGAGAGATCCTTGGGGCCAACTGGTCCCTTCCTCATCCCAGGTACTATTGGAGCCGACACACCGGCCTCACGGACCTCAGGCACCAAGGCAGTTGGCACCGATACAGGCACACCCGGCACCAGAGCTACATATGGCACCGAGTCTCCCGATACCGGGAGCACCAGCACCCCTACTGCACAGGGATAAGCCATCGGCAATGGTGCATCAGGGAAGGGAGGTGGAACAGGCCTCTTCCACAGCACCACCCTGGTTGGCTTCCAAACTATGTTGGAGTCAGAAGGAGAGTCCCTGGTGTCCAGGGCATCCTCCCACTGTACCATGGACTCCAGAAGATCACAGTCCTCATGAGCCTCGAAGCATCGGCACTGCTCTTGTTCTGGGCACAGGTCCCACTCACAGCACCATCAGGGTCACCATGACCATACTCGGGTTCAATTTTGGTCTCCACAGTGGCAACCTCCACCTCAGTGGCCCTTTTGGACACCGTAGGCCTACGACCAAGCCCAAGGCTGTGACCCATCGAAACCGGGGTCGGTGGTAACCTCGGTGTACTCGACCTGCAGGATGGCTCCCTTGGTGACCCTCTTACTAGGGATCAGAGCCCAGACACAGCTCCCCCCAAGTTCGGTGGGGACATAGGCTCACCCACCTCCTCGCCCACTTTTGGAGAGGTCCTCGAGTGGCCAGGACGCTAGACCCACTCCTAGAATGGAGGTGGGGGATCCACCAGACCAGGGAGAGTCATTGTCCTCTCCACCAGATGAGGCCTTAGCTGACCCCTCCTCGGGCATGCCCACAATGGACATGCAGGCCCATCAGGAGCTGCTCAAGCGTCTGGTGCAAAACTTAGGGGTTTAGGCCGAGGAGGTCAAAGAAGAGGCCAACCCAATTGTGGACATCCTTATGGCGGATGCCCTGGCTAAAATTGCGCTGCCTCTTAATAAGACGGTGGCAAGGATTACAAAGAACCTGTGGCAGGCATCGGCCTCAATACCCCCTACCCAGAAAGGAGTGGAGAGGTGGTATTTCGTACCTCAAACGGGTCACGAGCATTGGCTTGGCAGTGGTTCAGGCGGCCTGTCAGAGGGAGAGACCAGGGCAGCCTGGCCCCACCCCAAAGAGCCCCAAAAAATTGGATTTGCTGGGGAGGAAAGCGTATGTCACAACGGGCCTGCAGTTGAGGATTGTGAATCAGCAGGCAATGTTCAGCAGATACGCTTACAACTCCTAGGTGGTGATGGAAAAGTTTAAGGCCCAGCTCCCCCTAAATTCCCAGCAGGAGTTCGCTGTGCTTAATGAGGAGGGTAAAATAGCGTCCAGGACAGCTCTCCAGGCGGCCCTCACTGCTGCGGATTCTGTGGCATGTTCGATGGCAAGTGGGATTGTCATGAGGAGTTGTTCGTGGCTGCAGGTCACGGGCATCCCACAAGAGGTACAAGTGACGCTCCAAGACTTGCCCTTTGAAGGTTCAGGGCCCTTTTCAGAGCAGACGATAGCAGGCTCCACAGCCTGAAGGACTCTAGGGCTACTTTGAAATCGCTGGGGATACATAGGCCCACCCCTCATCGCTGTACCCCATTTGAGAGACCTCAGAGAGGCCAACAGCAGGGGCCCCGATATGACCGCAGGATGCGGCATAGGTCCAATAGCAATGGGCTCTAGAAGGGGCCCGCGGCCTAATGCAGATCAGGGCCAGGATCCCTCTGACAGACCCTGAGATCGGGCTTTTGAAGATACTCCTGGGGATGGATTACTAGTGCCAGAGGCAGTTCGCCGTTTCTTCTCCAGACTGTCCCTTTTCTACCGTGCTTGGCTCTCCATCGCTTCAGACCAGTGAGTCCTGAACACAGTCCAAAGGTGATACTCTATTCCTTTCCTTACCTCCCCCACTCCTTCCACCCCCCCCCCTCCCCGACTCCTCTCATGAGAGCCTGCTCAGGCAGGTGGTCTCCTCCCTCCTATCCTTGGGAGCAGTAGAAGAGGCCCCATTACCGTTCAGGAGCAGGGGTTTCTACTCCCGTTACTTTCTAATCCCAAAGGGGCCTTCGTCCCATCCTCAACCTCTGAGGACTCAGTGCCCACATAAGGAAGTCACAGTTCAGGCTGGTCACGTTAGCCGCCATCATCCCCTCTCTCGAATTTGGAGACTGGTACGCCGCCCTTGACCTCAAGGATGCTTACTTTCACATTTTGATTGCCCGGCATCGCAGGAAATTCCTGTGCTTTACAGAGGGCAGGGAACACTTCCAGTTTGCAGTCCTGCCATTCGGCCTATCCACAGTCCCCAGGGCATTCACCAAGTGCATGGCGGTAGTGGCTGCCTTCTTGAGGCTCAAGGGCCTGCATGTATTCCTGTACCTAGACAACTGGCTGATCAGGGGCAGGTCCAGTGTACAGGTGCTCTCCCACATCGGGCTGGCCAGGGACACCACCTCCAACCTAGTCCTTTTCCTCAATGAGGAGAAGTCTACTCTCACCCCCACCCAGGTGATAGAGTTTGTGGGGGTGAGGCTGGATTCCACCTTGGGCCATGCCTCCCTACCGAGCAACAGATTTCTTGCCATGCAGACAATCATACAGCAGCTCCAGTTGTCCCCAATAACTATGGCGAGGAACTGCCTGAGGCTGCTAGGCCACGTGGTGGTGTGCACCTTCGTAGTACAGCACACCGGGTAGCACCTTCGGACCTTCCATTCTTGGCTGACCTCGGTATTCAGACCAGCCCGAGACCGCTTGGATATGGTAGTCACGGTCCCGCAACAGGTTCTGTTGTCCCTGAGCTGGTGGCTCTCAGAAGACAGCATGAGAGGCAGCATCCTCTTTGCCCAGCATCCTCCCTCGCTTCAGCTGGTGACGGATGCTTCTGACACTGGTTGGGGTGCTCACCTGCGAAGCTTGCGGACACTAGGTATGTGGTCGGTGGCGGAGAGAGAACTCCACATAAATGTCAGGTAACTAACTAACTAACTTGCTCTGGCGTGCAAGACCTTCATGCCCCATCTGAAGGGCAAATGTGTGTCCATACTGACAGACAACATGATGGCGATGTATTACATCAACTGTCGAGGGGGGGCATGTTCCACTCCTCTGTGCTGGGAGGTTGTAGTCTTATGGAAGATGTGCATCGCACAGGG